CACCGCGCGAAGACTCCAGAGCGGCGTCCTCAGAACACTCGTAAAACCCAGTGGGAGAGACGCATCTAGAGTCAGTATAAAAAGGAGTACCTGGAATAAACTCTTCGTCAGAGGAGTCACAGTCAGAAGGATATTCTCGCAGACCATCAATGGCCGCGCGACCACGAGGCTCAGAGGAGACAGGAGAGCTACGAGATGGAACTTTCGCTAGATTAGAACAGTTTCCCAGTTTAGCAGGAATACAACCAGTACAGAACTTTCGATTTTTGGTGCACTGGCATCGCAAACAGTGGCTCTGACTCTTACAGGGACAGCAGCTTTCTTCTGCCATCTTGACCGCGTGGGCTATATACTTGGGTATTTTTCAAAAATTGGCCATTTAAAAAAAATGGCCATAACTTTAAAAATTGAAGCCGGAATCAGCTCAAATTTCCTACATAGCATAAGGGCATCAATATACATCAAAAAATGTAATAAAAATTTGGGGTGATTTCGGAGCCATTTTTTTGAAAAAAAAAACCATGGGCTATAGCCTTGGGTATTTTTCAAAAATTGGCCGTTTTTAAAAAATGGCCATAACTTTAAAAATTGAAGTCGGAATCAGCTCAAATTTTCTACATAGCATAGGGGTATCAATGTGTATGAAAAAAGGTAATAAAATTTGGGGTGATTGCGGAGCCATTTTTTGGAAAAAACCATGGGCTATAGCCTTGGGTATTTTCAAAAATTGGCCTATATTTGTGCATCATTATACACTACATTGTTACACTGCTAATGATTATTATTATTATTGTTATTATTGTTGTTGTTGTTATTATTATTATTATTTTAGTGTATGATTTGGAGCCACAGAAGCTAACTGGTGTTATAAAGTACATTGGTAAAGTTGACAAGGAATACGTTGATAATAGAATATATGTTGGAGTCAAACTTGATGAACCAGGTACTGCATAATAATAAATGTACAACTGTACATGTACATGATGTATAGCTGGTTTTAACTGGGCGATGAAAGTAACACCTAAAATTTTGGTGTCATTTTATTTCTAAATTGCCGAAGAAACTTTGCTGAATGAAAGTGTTTTAGCCATCACTTTTATAATAGCAATAAAGTGTGTATTTATTATCTTTTTATTTATTAATTCCTGTAGCTGGTAACATGAATGGTATTTACAAAGGAAAGAGATACTTTGAGTGTTCAGCAGGTCATGGTAGAATGCTACACATCACCAACGTACTAGCAGCAATGCCTAGACAAGTAATAACCACTCTACTGTATTACTACTAGTATATCATTAATTTGCATGATTTGTTAAAGAGCACAGTAGGGCACCTTTTTTTCAAGGGCTGTAAATTTCGTAGATATTTATTTTTGCAGATTTATTTTTCACGAATTTATGCCATCTGCCATTTTATACTGTATTGATTTGATTTTTGCAGAAGTAATTTTTGCAAATCTTTAAAAATTGCAAAAACCGCAAAAACTTTCAGCCCTTGAAAAAAGGCACCCTACAGTATTGTGTAATCATGTACAAGCTACACTGTGTGCTACTGGGGATAAGTTTCAATTTGCATATTGGGTTATTGATCCCCTTGTCATTAGATAGAGCCAGCATACTGAGCATGGAGCTTCTGACATTTGTTGCTGTTATTATTATCATTATGATTATTATTATTATTATTATTATTATTATTTATTGCAGGGTATTGTGTATAAGCCGTTACAGTTTTCAATGGATTCTGGTAGTTATGAAGAAGAGAGGAAGCAACTACTCCAGTCATCATAGAAATAGCAACAGACACTATAGACTAATGATATAAACCATTGTATTCTTATATACACTTTCATTGTACATTGTATTATAGTTTTTAAATAATAACCACAAACAACTTTGAGCTAATGTAAATAGAGCCTTATGCAATCATGGCCCTTTGCTACTGCAGTATTGCAGAATCATTAATAGCATTAGGCTATTATTCGATATAACTTTGATAATTTTGTGCCTCCTCTATGGTTTATGCATTCTCATTATTATAATACCATGCAAGATGATTTATTGGCAAGAGTAATATTCGGCAAATTATTTGCTGTGAAAGTTAATTGACAAATTTTATATTGGTGATTTTGTGCCATGTGCTATTCAGTATGCTCAGATTGAAGCTTAATGGCAGCTTTTATATTGGTGATTTCTTTGTAAAACTGCTGATTGCCAATATTAATTCCTCGCCAATTAATCATCTTATATGGCATTTGAATTTATGGAAAAAAATATTACTCAAGATCTAATAGTAATGAAATTGAGACCTAATAATAAAATTGATAGTTAAATGATATGAACTATTGGTAGTGGTCTGTGTGGTTGTTCTTTTCTGTGTTTATCAATCAATATCTTCTTTTGATTTTTAAGAGCATCCTTCAGGAGAGGAGGACAAGTATACTTGTATACAGTATTAATCTCAATATATTCAAGTGATGGATGGATGAAGATTGTTTCATATAAACTTTGTACCAGTTCTTTCCAGTTAGGTTGATAGAATGCATACTTTGAGCTATGCTTCCAGTTTTTAAAGGATTTATATCTACTCCATATCTTCAGTAGTCTGATGGTTGCATGTGACTGTAACATGTTAGTAACAGCAGGTACAAACTGTTCATAAAACAATATTGCCATTATTTGTTCCTTCTTTTTCTCACTAAAGTTACTGTATGACTGATCTAGTTTGAAGTACACTTGAAGTTCTGTGAGATCATTTTTTTGAGAGATGACATTAATAAAAGTTCTTATTTCTTCATTCAATGGAATGGATATACTCAACTGCTGTAGACTGGTGTTGTGTCCGAGACCAGTTGTTAGGAAGGACAGGAATGAACTGGGAATGGGAGTGTAACTGTGGTTGTCATTATCAATCTCAAGATATTTCAGTGTTTTGTTTTGTGTTAGCATGTCTTGTAGACTAGTACCTATACTGCTGGTATATACTCTCTCCTCCTCTATCTCCACACTCAGAGCTTTAAGTGTAGTATTGGTTTGTAGAATAGTAAATAGTTCAATAGCACTCTCAGCTGTGTTTAGTAGTAAAGTGAGTGTATGTAGACTGGGATGAGAGAGAAATAGAAGATGTGGTGGGTATGGATCATGTAGCATCAGACAGTGTAACCCTTTGATATGTGGAAGGAGTGGTGATGTCACCAGTTTCATACTCATCCATCTTCTTCCTATCTCTAGAGCAGTCAGTGGTGTGTTCACCTCTACTATATTCAATGATGATGGTAGGAGTTCATCAGGTACTGCTAATGAAAGAGTTTGCAATGTGTTGTTGTCCTTTAGTAACTGCTCTATTACTCCATCAGGTAGAGGAGGAGTAGAATTATATCTATTCATAAGTAATATTAATGATGTTATTGTTTCATTTCTTGTTACCCCTCTAATAAAATTGGTGATGGTACCTTTTATTTCATTCTCTACATCATACTCAATCTTCATTTCTTGTAGTGTTGAATTCATTTCTATACATTCCTCAAGTTCAGTACACTTGTCTGTGTAGTATGTATTGTCAACTGTTGGTATAGTAGGATACGCCATCAATAAATGCAGTATCTTCAATTGAGGAAGATTGAGGAACTGTAACAATACAAGACAGGGAACATAATGGCCACCATGTAATCCACAGTAGCACTCTTGAATATTGCATAGAAGTGATGGTTGTAATAATTTGTGTATTAATAAAAAAGTGGGTCCTTTCAACTCTGCCTTCAGTCTCTTACACTGGGTCTGTAGTGAGTTATTTGTTAGTCCAGCAGTGAAGACTAATAGTTCCTGGTTAGATACAACCCCCAGGTCCAAGGTATTCCATGTTGTGTTGGAATTGTTTATACAATAACTGAGACACAACCAGTCAAGCAATGATAATGATACTCCATACAGACACAGTGAATGGTTGTTGATGGATTGTGCTAATACTTGACATAATGTTGTGTTCTGTGATTCATACAGGAGTTGAAGAAGAAGAATGGGAACATTGTCAAAGTCATCAGAACTGACATGATCCACAACCAAATCATCCCTCCATTTATACTTAGGATTCTGATAGAAGTACGGCAGATAAAAATTGTTAAGTCCAAAAAATGGTTTCCTCTTACACTGTAAGTCAAGTTGTTGTTTATTAAAATACTGTTGATAGCTCCCATGTTTAAGGTGAGTTAGACCTGCCACAAACCTCAGACACATTCGAAAGTGATCATCATCAAAGTGATCCTTAAACACTTCCTCTGTCTTCTCCTCATGCTTAGCTATCCACCATGCAGCTAGGAATTCCTGTATACTCAAGTGAAGGAACTGATACTTCTCCTCATCATATTCTGTGAATGCTGTCATCAATCCAAGATAGTCTTCCTTGACTGCCTCACTCAGTGACTGTAGTTGATGTGAAGAGAATGTCATTCTTGTATTAGCCAGGTTAGTATTAGCCAGGTTAGTATAAGCTAATTGACACATCTCTTGTAAAGGTTTAGCTAATTGTGATGGTAATGAAGAAAGACTACCTAAAGTATATGGGTTAATGTCATGTCTTGGTTTTATTTCCACATGTCTTCTGATAGTTTGTAGGATAAAGTTCTCATACAGTTGAGTAAGTGTTGTTGGTAAGTGTCCTCCTTCCTTACAATAAACTAAGATGACCATGGAACAGACTAGTGGTACATAACACAATGATTGGACATCATTTCGTACTTTAAGATCAATAATGAGTTTCACTGCTAGTCGTGAGTCCTTATCTGTGGGTAATTCAGCTTCATCATCACTTTCAACTTGATCATCACTTATTTCACGACTTTCATCATCACTTTCACTATTGGGAATGCTTTTACTATGCAAGTATTGAATAATTTTTTGTGCTAGTTTTGTATCTTTTTGAAGTGTTTGTATAATTACTGTTGATATTTCTTCCTTAGCAAACCCAATGACCTGAATATGTCTACTGAGAGTATCCATTTTCAAAAGTGAAGAGGAGGCATAGCTACGAGAGGTAATAATTACTGAACATTGGTCTAACTGCTTTCTATGAATGATACTAGCAGCTAATGAAGACTGTCTGAGTTGTTCACTTAGTTCATCCCAACCATCAAAAATTATCAGTAATCCTTCTCCATCCCTCTCCTCAAACCATTCAGGTACATTTTTAAATCTATTAAGTTGATGCACAAACAGGTCAGCTAGTGTAGTAGCTGTAGCTATCTTGCTATTCTTTAAAGGACAGTAAAGTACTAAGTCATACTGTTGGTGCGGAAGTGTTCTATTAGACCACATATTTAACAGTTTACGACAGAGTGTTGTCTTGCCAATACCAGGAGGACCATCTATTACTACTCTGAGAGACAGAGAACTATCTGTGGGTTGGAGGACATCTTCAACACTTATCTCTTTGTGTCCAGTTAGTTTAACTGTTTTATCAACTTGTCCTCTTAGCATATGCCAAGCTGATTCTGCTTGTGTGCTGGAGTCTTGTTTTTCTACTAGTGCTAGTCTCCCAAAAAATTTTTTTCCAATTTTTGGTGGCCAGTCTGTAGCAACAATAGGTTGGTGTTTGTAGTGTTGTCTCATATTGTCAGCATATCCTTGAACATCATCAGGTATTGAACTAATGGGTTTAGCTACATCAGACTGACCTATTGACCAAGATACATAAAAACATTGTATGCACATTAAATTGTTTCTACCTCTTGTCTTAACAACTGTTGTATTGGATATACCATCAACTGGTGATGCATATGAACTGACATTATCAGGCATAGACTGACCTAATGTATTGAGATATAATGACTATATTGATCACTGATAATGTACACACACACAAAAATATAGATTCATTTTATTGACATTAATTTTCATACCTATATATGCCAGAAGGTTAGATTTTGCTTTGCCCAGTTGATCGGGAAAATCATGACACAGTTTTATTAATGTATCCCAATTGACATCTTTATTAGCATCAAACCACCTCTGGAATACCAAAATAAGATTGTCAGTTGCTGTTCCTGGTATTGGTTTGAGATCAGACACATATACATTCAATCCATTCCCTATTGTCATGTATTGATGAGCAGAAGAAGTAAATATCTTTGTGACGGCTGCCATGGTAAGTGCCTTTTCTATAATAAAGGTATCATTGCTAATAATTGTAACTTTCAAAACTATAATGAGTAATAATTATTTTTTAATCAAGTGTAGAGTTATGTTTACCTGTTATAGGACCAGGACTAGTACTGATTTCCATATCATCTTTATCTGTCACTTTGTCTTCAATAGTTCTAGCTAGTTCATTCTCTTTACATTGTTTCAAAGCATTAATGACATCTCTCCATGATGCTGTAGGATTAACTTGTAACCATCTCTTATGTAATGCCTCCATCCTGAGGTAAGAGCTTCCTTTTGATTTAACTATATCAACATCAAGTTGTGTTATCCCATCAAAAAGACAAAGAGCGAATTGTTCCCAGTCAAGAAGAGGTTCAAGATATTTTGCAAATAAAAGACAAGTTGGTTGATCATCAGTCATAGGACCAGGATTGAGTTCAACATCTCCTGATAAGAGGAGGATAAGAAATAAAACCAAATAGTAGATCAGGTCAGAGCTACTGCCAATAGTAGCTATAAAAAAGACTAATGACTGGAGGCAGTGGATCATAACAGTAACAGTAATTATACCTATTGTAAATACACTGCATGATAATATTATATAGGTCTACTGCTAGTTTGTTTACCAGTTGGAGGAATATAATTGAGCTTCATATATCTTAATAAAGATAAAAGAAGAGAAACAATAAGAGACAGAGCTGCTGGCAGTTTAGATGTCTTCTCTCCTGATGTAGTACTGCCTGACTTGCTGTCTACTGCAGCTTTGAATGAGTGAGAGTGGCGGCCATTAGCCGGTCTACTGGAGGCAGCTTGACAGTAGTTCCACAGTCCAATACTTGCTCTCCATTGAGAGACATCAATCATCTTGTAATTATTATTATTATTATAAATGACGTTGCAGACCAGTAGTTCCTTTATCCAGTGACTAATGGTAAAGAGTACAATAGAAGTGAGTGTATGGTGTACCTGAACTATATGGATCATTAATATTATGCTATGACAAGATTCTGTCAGTAGATAGTGATTGGTATTTTACAGTAATTCCTAACCCATCTCTATCTCTCTATGCTTAAGTAGGGGGCATTATAGGAGTATTTTACAAGTGATTTTAACTTGATTTTGTACTAATTACTGAGTAGTTACAAGTTCGTACAAATTACATGATTGTATACAGCAGATTTACTTCAGAACTTACCTTTAAAATGATGCAACAAGATACAGGTACAGTGACTAGAGGTAGCTTCACTATATCAGGGTAGAGTACAACAACAAGACTAAGTACAAGACGGTACAAGACGCTAGGACAGCAAATTGCAAAGAAAGAACGAGCTCCGCCTTAATGGGTGTTGCCTATTTGAAATGGGTGTGTCCATGATCATACACCATATCATAGATAATAGAGTAAATGAAAGGGATTGGAAACGGAAGCGTGGGCGTGGCAAACCTCCATTCATTTGTATTGTTGCTAAGTAAACAGAGGAGGGTTGGGATTTTTTGACCGATTTTGGAGTAAAAAACTGGGATTTC